CTTTGTTAAAATTAGTAACACCATTAAATTATTAGAAGTTGTTGATTAATTGTTGCCAGCTTTCAAATAACTTAGCGTTTTATGTCTAGGCCTCCAGTGACGATCCTTGCACAATATGTCATGATGAGCTAAGCAGAGACTCATGTGAACTAGAATGTGGGCATCGTTTTCACAGAGAGGTAAGGACTTTTGTTCTTATCACTTAGATGCAAATGCTTATGGACACTGTCTAGTTATGCCCTTGTTCCATTTTCTGAAAGCAGCCTTCCCCTCTTACCCGTCTGCACCTAAGAACAATGCAGAACACCCTTTCTTTTCCATACTTAGAACACCAAGACTTGCAACACACATGGCCTTAGTGTGCCAGAAAATTTTCAGGTTTAGATTTCTAAGCAAAATGATAATTCATCACAGTGAATTTAAGCTTATTTTTCAGAGGATAAATCTGGTAGTCAGGTCACAGAGTTGTTTGCAGCATATTTACAGAATGGGCTAGCACTGTAAGCCCTGCGTTTGCCACCTGCTAGCGGCTGCACATGTAGCTTCCTGTAGTAAGAAGTGAGGATTATGTGAGAATAACTGGATGCTTCTGCCTGTGACTTTTTCCATGTTTGTTCACTGCAGATTTGTGATTGCAGAGTAGGTGCAAATGTAAACTGATGAGCACAGCGTCACAGCTGGAGAACAGTTCTGTACTGCAAACTTTGATAACATAGAACGTCTTGTGCCTGCCTGTTAGTGACAATTACTAACTTAGTTAAACTGAACTCTTGATACTGGGCTGTTATGTCCTCAACATCTCCCTGTTCTTACAGTGCATTAGAACCTGGCTCAAGCAACACTCGAGTACCTGCCCCATCTGCCGCGTTCACGCTCTTTTACCTGAAGACTTCCCTGAGCTTCCTGCACGGAACAAATACACCTAAACCTTGTTTTATTTGAACACATTGTAGTAAGATGCAAAGCAGCTGCAGAATAACCACCATGATAAGGAACAGAAACATGAAAGAGACAGAACCCTGGTTAGATTGAAATGGTAGCAGAGCCCGGACTGCTGCAGTGTTTACCACTGAGCATTAAGCTGTAAGATGCTGGTACTGCCATGGCACCCTCAGAATGAAGTTGGCATCCTCGCAGATCCAGCACTTTTCTTGTGTGAAGCCAGTGTAGTTCAGAGGCTGGCAGCATGCAAAACTGGTCATGCTTTTTGGCTAAGGGGCATTGAAACTACTCTATCCACTTTTCTCCAGGGATGGTGCATCACTCCTGCTAAGACTGATGCACCATCCTCCAGAGCTTACACCACCCTGAAAATAAATTCTAGTATTAAACCAAGTAGGTGACCCCAGTGCCAGACCAGCAGAATTTGGAACAGCCAAGACATTACCTTCCTTTGGCACAAACAGTTAGAATTTAACTGCAGGATTCAAATCAGGCTTGTTGTATTCATTATGAATGTAGTTCACATAACTGCAGCTCCTTACTCTGCATAAATCCATAGCTTATAATTCAAATTGTTTAAATAATTACTTTTAGTAATATTTCGAAGCAAGAATTTTTAAGTATTCATGTGATTCCTTCTTTTTGTTTATCCTTGAGTTGTAACACTGTGGCTCAATTCTTTAGTCTCACAATATGATTTGAATTTTCCTCCTTGCTGAAGAGCTGATTTATTTAAATCAGAATTACAAGATTTTTGTTTTTGATGAAGCAAACCCTGCATCTGTATTCTGTGTGTGGATGTTCATCCACGGCATACACGTACAGAATGCAGACAGCTGAAAAACTGGCTCTTCTACTGCTTTAGAAGCCTGAGCTTGCCCGAGTACCTTTGTCACTGTAGAACTTCTCTCCAGTACCCAAAGACCAGGACTAGAGAGTGTACAGCCTGACCGACCACCCTGAAACTGGACTGTGACTGTTGTTTGGATACAGGCAGTATTAAGTTGATTAGATGAGGTTGTTGGCTAATTCTAGGAATCAGATGTTCCCCCAAATGCATTTGTATCCTCCAGATGAGGTTTTAAACTATTCTGCGATTAATCAGTATATTACTTGGCACTTGGATCAAAAATAAATCAGCTGCAGTAGTAATTTTTTGTGTGATATTTTTGCTAAGTGTGAGTTACTGGTGAGTGGTCCACCATAGGCTGGTGAGCCTTGCTGCCTGGGCAGTTAGGTACTGCACTGCTCACCATAACAGCACATGCACCCTTTCCAGCTCCTGTTGTGTTCTTGGGGTGGGGGATACATATACATCTTTTTAGCTTGTCACACCAGTAGCCTGCATCCTTGACCCTCAGGACCAAGGACTGGAGCAATCCCAAGTTGGGTCAGGACAATCCCAGCTGCAACTAGAGGCTTGGCAGAGACTGGACTGAGAGCAGCCCTGAGGAAAAGGACCAAGGGTTGGGGCTGATTGACAAGCAGCTCAGCATGAGCCAGCAGCCCAGAAAGCCAGCCGTGTCCTGGGCTGATCAAAAGGAATGTGACCAGCAAACTGAGGGAGGTGAATCTCCCGCTCTGCTCCCGTGAGGCCTCACATGCAGTCCTGTGTTCAGTTCTGGGGCCCCCGACACAAGAGGGACATGGAGCTGCTTAAGCGACTCCAGAGGAGAGCCATGAAGATGATTAGAGGGCTGCAGCACCTCTCCTATGGAGACAGGATGAGGGCTTGTTCAGCTCCAGGGAGACCTTACAGCAGCCTTCCAGTACCTAAAGGGAGATGGCAAGAAATCTGGAGAGGGACTTTTTATAAGGGTACGTAGTGACAGGACAGGAGGGAATGACTAAACTGGAACAGCAGATATTTAGATCAGGTATCAGGAACAAGCTCTTTACTGTGAGGGTGGTGAGAAGCTGGCAGTGTTCAAGGCCAACCTGGTCTAGTGGAAGGTGTCCCTGCGCATGCCCATGGCAGGGGTTTGGAACTAGATGATCTTTAAGGTCCCTTCCAACCCAAACCATTCTATGACTCTGTGATTTTATGACCCTTGTCCAAAGCAGAGCACTTGCCCTAGTGGACACTATGGTCCAATTAGAACATGGTGTGCCTTGAGGCAGTAAGGATGAGCTGGTTGTGGAAATGCTTGGTACCAACCGACCTTTTTCTTATACTCGCAGCAGAGATGGGACCCCAAATAAGCGGGATATTTTTTATCTGTGTTCCTTTTCCCCAACTCCTATAAGATGGAAGGGTTGTAGTGATTTCAGAGATAGTTCACTTACTTACACCCTTGAGGCAGAGGCCTCCTGTCCCAGCCACTGTCACTGACCTACTGGTTTTGGCTGGGATAGTTAATTTTCTTCCTAGTAGCTGGCGCAGTGCTGTGTTTTGGCTCCAGTCCGAGAACAATGCTGAAAACACACTGATGTTTCAGCTGTTGCTCAGTAGCACCTACCCCAATCAAGGACTTTCTCAGTCTCATGCTCTGCCAGGGAGGAGGGGAAGCCGGGAGGAAGCAGAGGCAGGACACCTGACCCAAACTGGCCAAAGGGGTATTCCATACCACAGCACGTCATGCCCAGTATAGAAACTGGGGGGAGTTACCTGGAAAGCCCAGATCGCTGCTCGGGTCGGGCTGGGTATCGGTTGGTGGGTACAGCAATAATACTGCACATCACTTGAGTTTGTTTATTTTCCTCTTCCCTTTTAGTTTGATATTCTCTCCCCTTGTTATTTCCCTCACCATTATTATTATCAGTAGTAGTATTATACTATACTTCAGTTATTGGACTGGTCTTATCTCAACCCATGGGAGTTACCTTCTTTGATTCTCCTCCCCATCCTGCCCGGGGGCTGTGAAGGGAAGGGTGAGCGAGCGGCTGCGTGGTTCTGAGTTACTGGCTGGGCTTAAATCACAACATCCACTCCGGGTGCTGGGGCCTGGTGCAGGATGGACACCCGTCCATCCTTCGGAAGAACTTTGGTAGGAGGCGATAGCGGCACTTGAGCAGCAGGTGGCACTCTTGCACCACCACCCAGACTAGAGACAGCACCTTTGCTTATCCTGTACCAGTTCCTGATCTTAATGTTTTCAGTTCTAGTAAATAAGCTCCCCCGTCCTGGCCCAAGAGTGCTGTAAGACAAAAGTAAGAATTTCAGATGGTTATTCCTAAAGGTGATACAGAACCAGGGCTAAACATAGAACTGAAGTTTCCTGCTTGGTACTGCTGCTGGATACAGCTAAAGGAAATCAAGCAGTTTTCTTACTTCTGTCATTTCAGGTTGTCATCTTCACACTTATACTCTATATAATATCCTAAATGCTTAGCCTGCCTTCACCCCATAGAACAGTGTGTGGAAAATTCTCAATTAGGACAAAATTGTGGCTGTTTTGTTAAAATAACAAACATCAAAATCTACAACCTGGTCGTGTTGGCAAGACCATTTCTTGCTGTAATAGTTTTCCCACAGAGTTCCTTTAAGATGGATAGTTACAAAATTCAATATACTGACCATAGCTTATTCCTTTCCTGGCATTTACTTGATTTTAATGGCGTTATTTCACATCATTATTTGTTTCAAATCACTTACTTCACATTCATCCTTCAATATTCATCCCACATCACCACACTCTGTTGCTGTAGCACCATTTATTATACCTTCAAAGACATGATTCAGTATTATATTACAAGTCCTATACCCTCCCCTCCAGTATATATACACCATATATAACAGGACTTACTACGTTTAAGAGGTCTTCAAAGGCCTTTGGGACAAGTATTACAAAATGAAATGATGACAGACACTTACTATATATTTCTACAATTTGTAGAAATACACAGAATCATTCCTTCAGAATTTGTCTGAGGAAAATCTGAGAAAACGTGGTTGTTGGAGTCAGAAAGATACCTGACACAGCTGCTGCACAGATACCTCCACGCAGGCTATCGTGAGACAGGCAAAGTCATAGCACGGTTTACAGAGAACTGAAAACACACGGACCTCCAGGAGGAAGAAGGAAGTGATGTGTTCTCAGTTAAAGTAAGAAATGGATAAAACTTCACTTTGCCTCTGAAGAATTCTGTCCTTTTTCATTAAATCCTCAAGTGATTCTCCTCTGGCTATTTACATCCTGCAGAGCTTCAGTGGAAAGTTCTCTGTGATGAGATGATCATCGTGCAGAAGGACAACGATGTTAACTTCAAACTCTGCAAGAAGGGAGGTAACAAAGTAAAAAAATAAAAAATAAAAATGAAAACACAAGCGAAATAGTAGGAGTCACAGAATCACAGCATGGTTTGGGTTGGAAAGGACTTTAATATCATCTAGTTCCAACCCACTGCCATGGACGAGGACACCTCACACTAAACTATGTCGCCCAAGGCTCTGTCCAACCTGGCCTTGAACACCGCCAGGGATGGAGCATTCACAACTTCCTTGGGCATCCTATTCCAGTGCCTCACCACCCTCACTGTGAAGAACTTCTTCCTTGTATCTAACCTGAACTTCCCCTGTTTAAGTTTAAACCCATTACCCCTTGTCCTATTTGCTACAGTCCCTAATGAAGAGTCCCTTGTGGATCTGAACTGTAGCAGCAGGAGGAGGGGCAGGTAGTTCCTGCTCTCACACACAGCACTTCACAGAGCTCTTCCAAGCCGCTCCAGTACCCTGGATTTTCCTGTGGCATGAACATGGTACTCCAGGCATCCCACACCCAATCCTCGGACCATTCCTAGAGAGCCTTGTTTTGTTCTCATCTTTGGGATTCCTCTGGATTCATTTCTGTACCACTGACAAACTATGACATACAGTCTTCCAGACAACAGGCAGAGTTCAAGCCTCCAAGATTAAGATGCTTTGAGAAAGACTCCTCACACCAATATGCATTGCTCAGGCATGTTAGTGAAAGAGCTGGGGAGCAGACTCCTCCCCTGCTGTCAGCACATAACATAACCTTAGAATCGTGCATCACATATGGCCTTAGGAAAGTCAACACCAAAATATAATAAACCCACAAACTAGGATAAAAAAAAATTCAAAACCTGCTCTTCAGATAGCATATTGTGTTGTTCAAAACCAAAATCAGATCGATAATGAATGCCCAAGTAGAGACAGGACACGAAGTCAGGTAGAGTTCGTAAATGAAGGGAACCAGAGATCAAATTAAACTGAAAATAACTGTTCTTTTTTGGAATCTTCATAACTTCTTAAAGTAGATACTACGCTAACAGGAGCCATGTGTCACTGTGAATTGCTGTTCAACAGCTAGAAATGGCAAAAAGAGTAGTAGTAGTCTGGGGAAACATCACTGTATATGTCAGGTGTGAGAAAGCTCTTGGAGGAACAGGTAAACAGGTAGGCAAAGCTGGAAACGTAGTTGTGCACATTTGTCCAAGGTGTACAGCAGAAAAGTCCCAGGGACCTCAGCTGGGAAGGACCCTGAAGGCAGCGACTTGTAGCTTCAATCTGATACAATAAAACTAAAAAAGAACCACCAATAAATTCCAGCAGGGTGAAGGGAAGAAAACCGGGCTAGCAATGAGAATTTTTGCTGTAATTATTTGAACAAGTGAGGAAAATCCTACATTTCACGTATTTGTTAAGGAAAATGTTGGATTTTGGCAACAATAAGGAGGAAGAAGTAGCTGGTATAGATCAAGAAGAGCAGTCACATGCAAAAGGAAAAGCCACATGCAGCCTAACTTCAACTTCTGAGCCTGTGCAGCAAGAGAACCGAAAACAAAAAGGAGAGGAAATGGAAAGAGAAGTTCTCAGTGATGGTGAAAAGAAAGAAGGGATCATCTTGGCATTTTATTCTTGGACTATTACTCAAGTGTTTAATCACATGTAACTTTTTGGTAGGAAAAAACCCCAACCTGCCATTGCACTGCTGCTCCTGTCCCTTTACCATATAATTCTAGTAGTGAGAAGTAGCTTAACAGATGCACAACTGGTTTTAGTTGTAAGTGTTTGGGCTGTATTTTCTCAATCTACATGAAATACAGCAGACTACAGTCCTGTTGAGGGACTGCAGGGAAACAGAGTGATGCCCTTCATGCTTCTTGCAGGCTTGGCAGCGATTTATCCTGTTACTTGCCAGAAGCTGAAGTGAAACTTAGAAACTTCCCTCAGGTGAAAGACACCAACACAGCATGAAGCTCTACACACTTACCAACTTTGAAGTTTGTTGTTTCCAGGGTAGGGCAGGTGAACAGCCTGGGAAACACCATGTATATAGGAACTGGCAGGCCCCTGCAGACATCCCCATCAGCAATCTGAATATTCTGTATCTCGGTGGCATCTCTGGCATACCCTTCCGCGCACCCTGGTGAGAGCAGGAGATTCAGAGGGAAGGCAAAGAGAGAAGAGAACACAGTGGCCAAAATTTAGAACAAACATACACCGGGGCTGGGGGGCAAGATACATGTGGGCAAACCATTTTGCCCTTTGACCTGCAAGTTTTCACGTGAGCAATGTGATTTAAGGATCACAGAGATTATTTAAATTAATGTTTGGACTGTTCCACCTAAAGCACAAAACAATTTTTTGCAAGTCTTTTTAATTATATGGCTTTTGACAATCTTTCATATTGAAGCTGAAAGAGCACAGGCAGTAATTACTGCAGCCTGTTCTATACACATTCCATTGATAGAGAACCTTACCACAGGTTTCCACACGTACTAACTGCAGCTCGATACTTTTGACTGCAGCCTCTGCATTCTCCACTATCAGCTGCCCCGTCAGTGGCTGCGTAATGATACAGTTTGTAGAACTGAGATGACCTCTGATGAGAAATTTCGGAAGTGAGGCTCTCTGAAAAGATTGGGGGAGGGGGGGAAGAGAAAAAGACACAACTGTAAAAGCAGACCAAGAAAAAAATACCTTACAGAAAGGTATCAAAATATGTAGGAAATCCCAAAAGGCTGCAACGTTAAGAATTTAGACGTTCCAAAATGCCTCAAGTAACTCAATTTCTTTACAGAGGCATCCTTACGCAGATGCATTAAGGTATCTCTTACTACCCCTGTTCCCCTTGACTTGCATCCCCCCCTACTCGTTTCATGCACAGGAGCTTTTTCCTGGGATGCACTGACAAAACCTGGCTATTGCCATTAATCCAGAAGTCAGGACTGCGTGGTGAGAGAGGTAGGCTGGCAGGAACTAACAAGATGGTCAAGTAGGCTGGCAGTGCTCTGAGAGACACATGCTGGTCCCATTTTGTTACAGATTACAATAGTCTCTCGTTTCAGTGATTTTCCTGCCCTTTTAAATTTCTCTCTCCTAGCCACTAGTACTGGGAGGGAAGACAGACATTTAAAAACCTTTGTTTGATGCAAGATGTAGTATACTGCGTATGTACTGAGACACCAATTAATGACAACTAATAAAGAGCTTAATTTACATACAGGGTCACACTTTCAACATTTTCTTAACAGCAAGCATGTTTCCTACTTTTTAAGGAAGGAGCAGTGAGAACAGCTGATCGAGGATGACAATCTATAAATCAGTTTCCATGAAAGACCAAAGCAGAGGGTTTGCTCCCCCTGCCCTCCCCTTTTTTTTAGGCCAGCAGGCACCACAGATATTCTCTGCCAGCAGAAAAACTTGTGTGCCCCAAGATTCAGTTACAAGTTCTAGCAGGAGGCATACTGAAACAGCCAAGCCCACATCTTCAGCTCATATCTTCACCATCCAACTTTCTTCAAGCTCTTTGAGCATCCTGCTCTAACTTTCCCCTTCTTTTGCAAGCCTTATTCTTCTCTCCCTCCTTAATTTTCTGTTATTGACATCTTTGATGTTTGTTTTGCTTCTGAGTCCTGGCTGCCAGTAGCAATGGCAGAAAAGTTCTCCTAAGCTACTGTTTAGACTGTTTCACTCAGATACCCAACACCTCTGCAGAATCTGTTCCACTCGAATCTTTGGGGGAAATAAAGAGAGAGGAATTTTCATGCATTTAGTAAACAAGTATTTTCTCCTAACTTAAATAACAGAAGTTGCATTCCTGACAAAACCACCCTATGAAATACTGAGTCCTAACGATGTATTAGTAAAATGCTTTTTTATTGTATGATCCCTCACCAGGTTGTTCTCATCACCACTATAAGTAAACACAGAGTTGCTTCCCTGCATCACTGGGACATCATGTAACTATACCCTGAAGTTTAGTGGTCAGGAACCTAACAGACAGAGATATAAAGAACTTGCAGAATGAGAACTCAAGGCCATTTTCCTCAATCGTAGTCTATGAAACCTGTTTTTTTTAAAGGTACTAATCTTGTTGGCACTTTTCATATTTTAATCCTAGCTAGGTCTTCTCTCATGGGGCCTATCATCTAGTTCATAATCCCCCTCAGAGAATCAAGAACATAGAAGCAAATCAATCCTGGTTTTTCATCCAACCTCTCTGTGCTTTGCTTGGCTACTTCAAACCTCCTCATCAGTTTTCTAGTAGTCCACCAGAACTGTCTGTCAATCTCCAGACAAGCAGAGAATTGAAACTTTAATGTTTTAAATATACCAAACCAGTGACTTTTTCTAGCTGTCCACTGGGTAGTCACTTCAGACCATACATTTCATACATTTGTCTGAGACCTGCTAGCACTGTTTGTGCTACCATACACATTCAATACCATTCCTTAAACAGCTCCACAATTAAACACCAACATCTGCTGGATCAGAGATGTCAGAAGTTTTAGAACCTACTTTTGTGGTTACGTACTTGAAATAGAGAAAGGCAAAAGGTCTGTTAAGAAAGAGCTTCTAATGGACAGGACTTTCATGATGTACACCACCAAGTTTTTGCCATACCAGTGAGTAGAGTACCAAGATACAGAAGAGAAAGAAGAAAATCATCTATATGGAAACACGCTTTGTAGGAAGAGTGGACTGCTGAGAGCTTAGTATTTAGCAGTAGTCTCAAAAGAAATTTTACTACCAAGAGTAGTTATTATATCTTTATCTTTAGAAAGACAGGCTTCCAGCATGCAACAGTCTCCAGAGACATGAGAGGCTGATGGACACAACCTGCTCATCCTCTAATTTAGCTGGTTTGTTTTCTAGAATCATCTCCTCCATGCTCAAGAATGGCCTATTCCAACATGCAGAACGTCAAGCAAAGGTAGGAAAAGACCTACATGAATGAAAAAGATGCTACTGATAAAATCATAACAAGGAAATATACAGAAGATGGAAGTGACCCAGGAGACACATAAAAACAGTATCTAAGTGTGCAGGGATGGCTTTGGGAAAGCCAAAGACCACCTGGAGTTAAATCAAGACACATGGAGGAGAACATGGACCTAGTGACAAAAGACATGAAAAGGACAGAGGCACTTAGTGTCTTGTCTGCCTTGGACTTTACTGATAAGATTTGCCTTCAGAAATACCAGGCCCCTGCAACCACAGGGAAAGTCTGGAGCAATGAAGAGTCATTTTTGGCAGAGAAGGAGCAAGTTAGAGAACATTTAAACTGACTGGATGTACACAAGTCCATCAGATCTTATGGGATGCATTCACAAGTGCTGAGGAAACTGACCCAAGTCCCCATGAGGCCAATCTTGATTATCTTTGTAAGGCTGTCATGAACCAAAAAGGTTCCTGAAGAACAGAAGGCAGTAAACGTCAACTTTACCTTTAATTATTTATTCTTAATTCTGTGGGGGTGGTCAAACACTAATATTGCTGAGTGGTTCCAAGTCCCCATCCTTTGAGATATTGAAAACTTGACTACACATGGCCCTGAGCAACCTGCTCTAGATGACTCTGCCCTAAGCACAGGGCTGGACTAACCAATCTCCAGAGGTCCCTTCTAGCCACAGTGATTCTGGGAACATGAAGAATAAGGTCAACAATAGCATGAAACAACTGGACTGCTGAATTAGAGGTCTGTTTTGAGAAACAAGTGGAAGAATAGGTCTAAATTCAGAAGTCTGGGACTAAGAGCAATGGAAGACAAATTGGGGATGCAGAAGAGAAACCGAAAGCAGGAACACAGTCCCATTAACAAAAAGAGCACAAGAAGAAAATCTGGAAAAAACAGAACATAGGTTTCAGTGGACAAACAGAAACAAGGGTTCAGAAAGCTAAATGACCAAGATAGCTACTACTGTTCATCCAGACTTCCCAAAGCCACATGGGGCTGTAAAAAAAAAAACAAACCAAAAAGGCTTAAACAAGGATCCAAATATACACTTTTAAAGGATCTTGGCTACATATGGTTACGAATGGTGTTCCCTGCTTCACTGCCATCTTTCACTCAGGAAAATTATAAACATGTTTAACCATTACTGAAACAAAAGTTCCACCTTACATTAGTCACCACTATTACAGGAGATCAGACAGAATCACTTTACTGCTTACAAAAGTGGAAAAAAAAGAAAAGGGAGGGAAAAAGGAAAAGAGAGCTGATTATCTACAGGGCAGCATTTAATCATTCCTCTCTTGTTCTCACTAAGAATCACACAGGCATTACATTTAAATAACATGACAACCCTTACCTCTTTAACATTTTGCAAAGTTTCAGGAGTAATTGTGAAGTCTACTGGGCTTGGCATCAGTTTCCCTTTCTGTGACTACAAGTAATGAAAGAGTTAAACTGTAAAACTGTGACTTACGAAACACACACAGAGAATCTTAAAAAAGATAAAGTCAAGCAATTCCAGGATGTGTTATTTTTCAGGATTTTCTTCATACTAAAAGTATGCATCTATAATAAAAAAAATTGTATTTCCTGCCCTTGTTATTAAATAACATTACAACATTGTCTAAATACAAGTCACATTGCATTACAAATCTGAACCATAGAAACAAAACCATGTCAATTTTTGGTTACTCTGTATTTGCCATTGCATTAAACAGTAACAACCTCTCAACTCCATTTGTAAGTTTTTAGCATACGCTCTGCCTACACTGGGGGAGAAAAAGAAAAAGGGAAAACAAAACCACATCATGTGGCTGACTAACACACCTGCAAATAAAGACACTACCTATCTGAAGCATAGGGTATGCCTTAGAAAACAGTTAAATTTCACATTTCTGTATTTACAAATAATTGCATTTTATGTATCACTTGCAATGTTTCCTTTCATTATTAATACTTAGTGAATTTGGGCAGGGCAGAGGGGGGAGATTATAAATGAACTTGCTTCATTACTTCAAACATGTTTGAGCGCAAACACCTCTGAGCATTCTTAACTCCTGCTGCTGCCCTTTCTATAACAACTTGGGTCTCGTAAGCCATTCTCACATTACTAGGAGATCCTCAGATGATGGAATAAAGTGTAGCATTGATTTAACAGGCCTAGCATTCCAGCTTCTTTAACTGTAAAATAAGCAAAACTTGGCCCAGGTTAGCCTTCCATGCTGGAGAAGCAATTTGGGGGGCGCATTATTAGAGTTCTGCGGTATCTATTTACACCATTTATTTACATTTCACAAAACAAAGAAGTCTTTAAGTGGCTGAATGGTTCCTGAGCAGCCTGTTCTCTGCATCAGGAAGGCAACCTTTGCTTACCATTCACCAACCTTTCTCTCCATCCTTATCTCAGTGAGGTGCACTATCTTTTCCCTAGATATTTAGAGTAAGTGGCCAGCACAGCATCAATTCTGAGTCCCAATCGTACATAATTTGGAGTTGGCAGAGCACGCCGCCACCAATGGGCTTAACTTGAATTCTTAGTTAGGATCTACCCTCACTGCTTAAGAATTCAAAATAGCTTCTGCTGCCCAGCTGCAAGATGGAAGATATTAGCAGAAGACTTGACTGTATTTTCCCATAAATGACTAACTCTGGCAAAGAATAAGGTTAAGGGAAATGGTACATTGAACACTGACAGCGAGAATTATATGTTCAGTAAAACCTCATTAATTCACCCTGACTGAGAGATTCATGATTTACTGACTTGTGATCTAAGAAGTGCTGTAGTGGGAACAAGAAATAAACCCAGGAAACTGCACAGTATGTAATTTGTTCACTATTTTGACAAGTGTGGCTTACTTATAATGTAATAACGCACCAATAAAGTGTAGCATAATATTTTAGAAGGAATGAAATCTTACCAACAGGAAACTTCTTCATAGCACCTAGCTAAATCCCTAAAAAAGCTACTAAATCTTTTAAAAGGTACTATAGAACTAGAATAATCTATTTCCACCATTATTCTTAAGTAAAACAAAAGAGTCTAATACTTTACTGTCCCGTTAAGAGTTCAAAGAAATGATACAAACAGTATGTTCTAACAAGCTGTGGGTGGAAAAAGATACTTAATTAGGCCTGCACAGGCTGTACTGACATCAGATGCTCTGGACATGCATAAAGTCAATATAAACTAGAAACCAATCTGATAAAGGAACTTCAAATTACAAGCAGCAAAGCATTCCTCGTGAGACAATCAAATCTCATCCCATGATGGTAACTCCAGAGGAGGAATGCTGTCTCCATGCTGCTAACTGCAGGATGTGGATTATTTGTTAACCTAGTTACGTTAGCATATTGCCAACCATGGACTTACTTAATAGCAAAGGTGATTAAGCTGACAAGCTTCTTATTTCCAACTTGATGCAATCCCAACTTTGATACTTTGAGTCAGGGCTCTAAATCGTAATTAATCATCTGAATAACAGGTATCCGATACTTTCTCTTCACCACCAAACTCCTGGTTTTAGGACAAGCATTGTGAGTGCCTAGAACCTTTGGCTCAGAAATGCTCAGATAATCTGAAACAGTGTTTAGAAGAACACCATAATGTTTAACCACACCAGTATTTCAGAACTGAAACATGAAAGGATGAATAAGAGAATAAACTCAGTACGGTAGAAAAACATCTTATAAACCAAATCCTCTTTATGCTATTTTCTTTAAATGAAGAAAGATGTGTTATTCTAATCAGAAGCTACTGACATCCTATCTCTTCTGGATGGTTTTGTTTTGAGGCCATCTTCCTTTACTTGTACATATTCCTATAAATACATATACACATTTAATTGTTGTTATTACAAATAACACGGTTTTACTTGGTTTTCAAACCTTCCTGCCAAACTTTACGTAAAGTGGGAAAAAAAAATTAAATCTCACTTTGTATAGCTAATACAAATCACACTTACCAGTGAGTGGACAATGAATTCACAAGTCTTAGTTAGGTCTTTTGCCAGCAGAGAACGTCTCATATCACACCGTAGCGTATACTAGCAAGAACAGGATAGCAGAGAAGAAACAGAGAGCCTTAATTAAGATTTCCTCTCTCTTTTCCTTGACTTTCCATCTTTTTATTGCATATGTGCAGAATGTTACTGTTATTAATATTTAAGGCATCATTTAAAACAGATTAGTAGGCAATGTACACACCAGTGATGGGGAAAGGGGAAGGAGGTAAGAGTTACAGTGATTTTAGATACTCCCAAATGAAAGTCGATTTTTCTTCGAGTTCACAGTCCCCTAGTCATTTACAAAAGCTTTTCATATCTTCTACATGATATATGAGGGATATATAATATATATATATATGTATTACATATCCCTCAATCGGACTAATTCACTGACAGAGAGTAGTATTCTTGTATGGCTTCAGCACCCAAATTACATTCAGTTAAGAGTTATTATGATACTGCTTTTTGCACCATGCTTTGGATGAGTGATGATCAGTAAGATATACTCATAGTCCCTTTAATTCTAAATCTACTCTAAGATTTAAACATGCATATAACTGTTACCACTGTTAATGGGGAACCATCTTCAACCATACATTTGAACTTAAAAGCAGCAGCGTGCAGTAAAATCAGGCAACAAGGTTAATTTTGTTGTTCACTGTTCAAAACCTTGCTGACAATTTCCTCCCATTTCTCCCCTAAAAAAAGTGAGCCATAAACCAGTGACTGAAAAACAGTAGGAGCTTGGTTATCACAGTAATCATACACTTCAGCATCTATAACACACTTGTTCAACATCCTTACAAGACAGGGAACTTGTTGGGGTGGTTTGGGTTTTTTGTTTTGCTTGGTTTGTTAATTCCTTCTTTACAGATGAGGAATTGGCAAAAACAGGTGCAGTCAAACTAGGTGCTGATGCAGCTTCACAACTTCTAGTTCATGATGTCTCTCTGCACATAACCTGGATATACGTGCAAGAAAGCCACTGGGGAGCATTACCTTTCCCTTCTCGTCACAGACTGTGGCTTCCACTGATCACTGTTGAGCAAACCTTCTATTACTGCACTACACTTGGCTCGGACCAGGGAACACAGTGCAATGAGGCAGCAAGACTACACAGGCCTTGCAATTTGGCCCACAGCCCCCCCCCATCAGTGGATAATTAGAAAGTCTCTGCAAAAGAAGAGAGCCCTGAATCTTGAAACTGACCCCCCAGCTAACATATTAGTACCTAGATCAAGAAAGAGAGGCTTGCTTCTAAATTTGGACTTGGACAGAGGGCTAGGAAGTGTTTCTTAAACAGCACCTCAACACTACATCTTCCTCTTCAGGAGATCACAACTGTCACAGGTTGGCTGAAATCTAATGATTAACCTTTTAATTACATTTTATCCCCAGCTTGTAAAGAGAAGCTATGTCTATGAGAAAGGGAACAACAAACAAAACAAATATTCACCATTGAAGTATACCTTAAAACAACTGATATTGATCATAGGCAAGTTATCTGGATATGGAAAGCAACTCGACCAGTTTTGCCCCATTTTTGGCATACCTACTACAAACAACAGATGTTACATTAGGAAGAAAGCCAAGGCTGAAAAAACATATGAGAAGTACTTAAACATCTGGATGTAGACAAAAAACAAGGGAATTTTTCTTTTAGTTACTTCTGATAGGCTAGTAGGTAGGGGGGTTTCTGTGGGTTTCTGGTTTGTTAGGGTTTGTTTTTAAATCCCAGACTGTAGTATGTTCAGCTAGATATCCAATAGTTTATATTTTGTCATCAAATCCAATACTCAGTGAGCCACAAGTGGAAAAAAGAATAAATAAACCAAACACAAAACAAAGGCCAACAAACAAAAGAAACACACACACACACAAAGAATAAAACACCAGCTTTATAACCCACTGATTTTTCATCAGCAGTGGTTTTAAAATTTTTGCATTTAATGCCTCCTTCAACTTTTTCCTTGAAGAAAAAAACCCAACTCAACCCAGAACTCACTCCTTGGTAAGAAAAAGCATTGTCTAACACAATATTTACATTCAAGAAATGGCTGAAGACTTTCCCCTCAAAAAAACCAAACAAAAAAACCTGACAAACACACAGACACACACACAAAAAACCCCAACCCAAACCACAAACAAATGAACCCACCTATGGTAAGACAATTTTTAACCAAAAAAGGTCAAATATCAAAACTGTGTTTTGAACAAAAGGACACTGTGGTGCCGTCTTTTTTCATGAAGAAAATGCAGTTATCTATAACATAAGGAGGGATCAAATATATACTACAGTAGCTCTGTAAAGGTATTCCAGGCAAGACGTCTTGTTGCTGTTCTGTTTATGTCATCATTCTTTAAAGATTTACTCCATTATGGAAGGCCTGAAACACTAAGAGATGGAAAGATTTCCTCTAGTTAGAGGATACTTCTCATAAATGAACGTAGGAAAACAGACTCTGAACACTAAGTAGCTTTGTTCCTGTAGGATTTATCCCTATGTCTTAAAATGTGTCTGGTAAGTCAATAAACTTAATTTTTAACATTTTAGTATTATTAGCAGTAATTGGATGTCTACTGTGCTAACAAAGTCTCACTGGTACTAGGCTAGCAGTACACACACTTGTATCTGGGTATGTACCACTATACAGATTATCTACAAAATAGTAAATGCAACTTCTTTCATGATAGAATCAGAACCCTGTAAAAGACAGAACCCTGTAAAACCCGTACAGACGAGATCTACAAGCATGGCAAACACATTTTATTCTTTCTTAACCCAAAACTCCTCTTTCCAGTATCCTTTTAATTCTCTCTCATACTTCCCATGTTACATCTAATTAGTTTCATTACTATTAACTACTTCCAATGAAAAGCTTAAACTTGCTGGAAAAGGGAACAGACATCACAATACTATTTTTTTAAAGCAACATTATATTGATAGGATTCTGAGGTGTCAGGATGGTTCCTCTGCCACATTTAAGAAGTGTTACCACCTGTGGAAAGTGTTGACTCCTAGAAACTCAAAGTCAAAAACTAGAAACTACCCAGAAGCCAGTACTCTAAAGGTTAACATGTTTCATTATTTTTAATCTTAAATTATATCTAGAAAACACAGTACACACCAGAAGAATGCTGTATTAATAAAGAGAAGCTTAGAAGCTACTTACTTCAAAGGATCTTTGACTTTCTGCTCATACTTCAAAGTACAGAAAAGATACTGCACTATGAAAACTATTGCAAAACTTTAGCCTCTGCTTCCATGACATAAAAGATGCTTTAGAGTAAATACATGCTGCAAATAACTAAAGTTCAGATTTTCTTTACAGATATGACTGCCTTACCTGAATATTAACAAAGACACCATGATATGTCTCATACAGAACTTTGTTGCCCTTTGTATGCAATGGAAATTCAAACGGAATTTCTGTCTTGCCACTGGGAAGCTTCCCTGGTTTTACCATTTCAATAGTGCTGTTAATAATTTGAATAGGCTGCAAAGAGAAACATTCAGAGGTTTAGGCTGAAGCAGAGTGACAGCCCCACCATTTCAAGAACCAGCAACACCCACTGAATGGACTTCCTGAATTTTGAGCAACTCAGGTGCTTATTCACAGCACAGAGCATCATTCAGCAACCATACTATTTGTTACTGTATTTCAGCCCCAAAGGAAATTCTTAAACCAGTGCGAGTTCCTCCCCCAAAACGTCATCACATATCACTAGATAATACCGAGCATTTCTCTGCTTTCTATGATTTACATAGCATGAAGTGCTATAACTACCTGAAAGTCATTAAGGAAAGATTTAATTTGAGAAAAAAGACAAAGGTTTTCTGCTAAAAATACTACCTTTCACAGGTCTTACCTTGACAGAGTTATAGAAGGCTTCGAACACACCGACACTTTTGGCACTAAGCTGCAGATTTACTGATCCTTCCATTGTCAGTGAGATACCTTGGTGCTGGACTGTGTCCTTACTTGTTATGACCACAACTCCAGAAAGAACTTCCTAATAGAAGAAAAGACAGCAGGAAAATATTTGTTTAAATAGATTTCTTCTATAGCTGTTCCTCAGACAGTGTGCTAGCTGATTTCCAAACTCAAAAACACTGTTCCTAGAGAACAGTCTAACCTTGTCAGAGAAGACAAATACTGATAATGAAAGCAGTGTGAGGAAGAGACCTCTGTACTTCTCGTTTGCTTTCTTTAAAAATATTGTCCTCCTCCAAGGTTCAATTTCTTTCAAAAGTTTCAAGATCTTCTGCTCCAGAAAGATGAGAAATATCTTCATGAACAACTGTCAGGTCAGTTGGTAATAAATAAGTTCCATTTCACATGATAGAATGAAATCCCAGGAGGAATTTTTATACGAAGACTGGGACAGTCAGACATGGGAGTTGAGAGAGAAGGCATAACCATGAAAGTGATGGCCAAGCTGAGGATAAGACTCACTTCGAGAGTGGAATGGAATAGGTTTAAAGTAAATAAATAAATAGTTGCTCTGCTACACCAGAAAATTCCATGCTACAATGGGAAATCAAAGGCACAAGTTGTATGAGTCAAGCAATGTGTCACTTATCCCATTAAGAATGTTTTGTCAACTAAACAGTATTTGCACAAGAACACTGCATCTTGAAAGCATCAACTTAGAAGTTCTAACACTGAAAAGAAGAAAAAGAGATTAACTGCAGGAGAACAATACACAGTTCCTTTTACATACCCCATAGAGAGATGCCCTCTCCTACAACGGAGAATCCACTCCCAGTCAGTGTTCAACGTCAAACATTCACACACATCTGGAAATAGCAGCAAGCGATTTGAGAACCCGAAGAAAGTTTCTGGGGGCTAACCTTCTCTTCTGCTAGGTGGTAATGCTCCCTGCACCTTCACCAGGCTTGTAAGCTAGACACCAACCTACAGATCACTCCAACCAAAGAATAACTCAGACTGCCCACTCTACACTCGACCAGTTAAAACCCACCTAGTTATGTACATCTCTGACAGACGCTATCTGAATTTTGCCAGCCTTTTGTCTTTACTAGAGGTACAGGATGACAATATAGAAAATGGGTCAGGCAGTGTAAAGCAGAACAGGACAGCAGTAGAACATCAAGCATCACAACAAAAGCTGACACACTGGAAGTCTGAAAAGAGGACCTGCAGCAATTGGGAAATGCCAGGAACAGGAGGCACAAACACAAAAGGACATTGAAGAAAAGCTGACCTAAATACTGTACTGCTTTGCTAACAGGCTTTAATTAGTACAAGCAATTAGGTTATTGCTTTGAAAAATGAGTACAGCTGAACTATAAGAAGCAAGGACAATCCTGAACATACAAAATGCTTTAATAAATGAGAACAGTCTCCCACCACACAGCAACAGCCTATTCCAGAGCTACTGCCTACATACTTTCACACGGTAAGGGTGTATGTATTTGGGGCAGAACGAAGAGTGACTTGAAGTTATATATGAATTTTTCTTCTAACACTCAATGTCTCTTAAGAAATAAGAAAAAAAAAAATCTCAAACCCACTTTCTAACAAAACTTTTAAAGGTCACTAGTGTGGGGGAGAGGGAAGAATCATGAAGAAGACGCAGTAGTATTTATTTATATAATATTCATATTTCTGTTTGAAGTGTGGGGAGGTGGTCAGCTATGTATTTTCTGGGGAAGAGCTAGTTTGTGTAAGGCCAGAGTCCTCTCTAAATACAAAGCTGTCAGTAAACGTCTTTCTTAAAAATAAGAATCAAAGAACATAAGCCTACCAAGATGTAAAAACACAGCTGGCACACAATTTATGAGAAAACTTTAGTTTTGCAAAACATTTGCAAACATGTACCATTTGAAAAAGCTATGCAGCATCATGTCATACTAAAATAGTACTGTTCATATCAAAAGGGCTTTGTTTAGCTTTAACACCACAAAACTAAAGGCACAGAGACAGTCACCACTGGAATCAATTCTCATGTACTACAATGTAGTAAATTATAATCAACTGCTGTTTTTCACTTTTTACCTTCTCCCTTACTTGAAATGCCTCATGTCTTCACCATGTGATGACAAAACTTTGCAAGATGGAATTAAGCTAATACAGTTCTATACAGAATTATTCATCTCAACAAAGTAACCATCCATAGGAAGGCCAGTGTATTATGTGAAGCAGACAGAGAAGGGAGGTACTTGTTCTAAACTGCAAACAAACATCCTTGTAAGAATGTCTCAGGTTAATAATCCTCAACAAGGTCTTTTAGCTTTGTGTTCTCAGTTCCTTACCACTCGGATATGTACATGACACTTTCAAAGCTTCCATCACTTCCAAGGTCACCACTAAGATGAACACCTGCTTCATCTGATCCAGCAGCACAATCCCTTGTTTCTCTAATTGTGGAGCACAGTTATCCAGGTCTGGCTGAGGACAACTTGGAATGATCTGTATCAAAAGAAGCGTGACCAGCAGGTCAAAGGAGGTGATCCTGCCCCTCTACTCTGCTCTCGTGAGACCTCATTTGGAGTATTGTGTCCAGTTCTGGTGTCCTCAACATAAGAAGGACATGGAGCTGTTGGAGCAAGTCCAGAGGAGGCCACAAGGATGATAAGAGGACTGGAGCACCTCCCGTATGAAGACAGGCTGAGAAAGTTGGAGCTGTTCAGCCTGGAGAAGAGAAGGCTGCGTGGAGACCTCATAGCAGCCTTCCAGTATCTGAAGGGGGCCTACAAGGATGCTGGGGAGGGACTCTTCATTAGGGACTGTAGTGGTAGGACAAGGGGTAATGGCTTTAAACTTAAACAGGGGAAGTTTAGGTTAGATCTAAGGAAGAAGTTCTTCACAGTGAGGGTGGTGAGGCACTGGAAGAGGTTGCCCGAGGAAGTTGTGAATGCTCCAACCCTGAAGGTGTTCAAGGCCAGGCTGGACGGAGCCTTGGGCAACATAGTTTGGTGTGTGGTGTCCCTGCTCATGGCAGGGGGGTTGGAACTAGATGATCTTAAGGTCCTTTCCAACTCTAACTGTTCTATGATTCTATCTTCAATCAATAACATGAAATGGTTCACAACACAGCACAGAGACTCTTGAAAGTCCTAAGCCTTATCTATAGACTTCTAACTGAACTAGACAGCAATTCAGTATTTACAAACTTTATGTAAAGACTGGGAGGATCAAAGCACACACTATAGTACCCCATAAATTGTTGAGAAAATTACTTTTAGTGTTAAAATTTATACTAATTCCAATCTGTTTACACTGTCAGATCTGTTTGCTACACTAATGAGCTAGAAAAAAGAATTTTAGCTAGACATTATGTATTTTCAGATTGTATCTAATCACTTGACAGCATCCCTAATAGAAAAAAAAAGATAATAAATCAGTGAATTTTTTTTTCTTTTCTCAAATGCAAGGTAGTTTTGGATAAATAACAAACCACAAAGTAGGTTTTAAGACCACTTGAAGTCTGTCATCACACTTTCTGAGGTGTTGACAATAGCAGAGGACATCGTATCTAATGCCATACAGAAATGCCTAGCATTTCTCTCATTCCATTTGATAGCCACTATATGTCTATGGATTAAGCTTATCCTTATTTTGGTAGTTGGTCACCAACAAGACGCCTTAGATTCCTTTTATATTCCACTTTCCACATCACAGGCATTCACTTTTAGGACGAACAGTTGACAACTTAAAAATTCATGTTAAGTTCAGGTACATCACGTTTCCTAAATACTCCTGATCATTTTCTTCCACATCTATTCCTGTAGGCAAGCCACCTGCAAACCTTAAGTGGGTATTCTTTTGATTATTTAGACAGAAACTAACCACATTCAGTAGAAAAAGCCTGCTAGATCCAACTAACTTATCATTAGATGCTTTAAAACCTCAATGCTCAGATGTACTAATGAGTTTGACTTTTTTTTTTTTTAGAGAAAAGAAAAAGGCTTCCTTATGGGCAAATAATGATTTAAGTATATTTTGGACTCACTTGTCACTAAAAGTCTTAGCTGATGTTAACTATGGTACCTTTCTTTGCACAATGCATTTTTCAGGCCTTTCAGCCTACAATTCTTCTAATTATCAATCTCAGACCTCCTCCAGTCATCCTGTTTGGGTTTTTCAAATAAAACACATCATTAGTTGTGCCTGTCCCCTCATTCTTCTAGCATTCCAGAGTTTATTAAATGAGCCTCAATGGCTCAAGAATTCTCCATCCAATTAAATAAAAAGTCTCCTGAACTCAGATCTTCTGTTCTTAGGAACTTAAACACAGTTTTACTGCAATAAGCCGTATTTTGCTATTACAGGATGTGCTATTTATTAGGATCCATTTTATTGTCCTTTTGTTCTCAAATCCCGTTTTAATACTTTTTTCTTTTACAATGCTATTACTTTTTTGGTCCAAGAAGTGGCAAGCTTCTTTTTTACTCACAATTTAAAGCACTCTGTTTAAGCCAGCTTTTCTCAAATCAAAGTCTGGACAAAATAAAGGTCTTTGTTTGCTTAGTTCCTCCAGTTTCTGCTGATTATAAATAATGAATACAGAAACTGCTTACTGTTTATCACAGCATGTTATTTTAACCAACTTCCTTTTTAAAAACAGGAACACAATCTCAGGCTTGCGTGATGCACGACTATTTTATAAATTTCATGTCTAATTTCTCCCAATTAAAAAAGAGCAGTCAACACAGAAGCAAAGAACAACTAAAAATAACAAAACAGTTGCCTACTCAACTACCTAGAACTAAAGAAAGTCTTAGGAAGTGAAGTGTCTTCCACTTGGCACAGGGGATTGCTTTGCAACAAGAAACGCTTGAATTCAGCTGGATTTAGTATAACCAAGGTCCCTGTGACAGGATAAGGAGTCTGACCCAACCCAAAACAATAGGGAATGTTTTGAAGGTTCTGTTGTATGATATTTCAGGACCAAAGAGAAATTTTAAACATCTTGACATGGTTGGGAAAGCCTGTAATGAAATGCATGCATCACTCTGACCTTACAAAGAGCAAAAAAGAAGTTATTCAGCCTTAATTTTCCTGGTCAGCTATTTGCTTTAGACACACCCTTATCTTCTCCACTCACCAGCCTTCTCATATGTACTACCAACAATATTTTTCCCTAACAGGACTCTTAATTCAGTTCTGCAATAAAATTAGATATAAGTTTGTTAACTTTCAGAGTTCTTACCTAGAAGTTTTTAATACAAACTCCCACACCTTCAGGGCCCTATTCAGTATGGCATTTACCATTAAGAGATTCTCAGAACAGTTACTTGTTAAATATGGGTCTCTCCTCTATCTGTT